TGAGCAACCTTCTCTGGTGGGAGGTGTCCCTGCCCAGGGCAGGGGTTGGGATTAGATCATCGCTGAGGTCCATGCCAACCCTTAAATTCTATGATTTTATGATTATTTAGTTGCAGATTTACTTCTTTGTGAAGTTTTGGGTTTTACTTTACCCTCAGATGTTATTTTTCCTTCCTCCTGCTACGTTTTGTCCTCTTCCCAATGTTAATTTACAAGTTCAAACACCCTCATAGGGTGAATCCAAGATTTTATGATCAACAGACATGAAGATGTATTTACCTGTTGGTCAGTTCTGTAATCACATTATAGACATTGAAGTATTGACTGTAATCTCTTTTTTTTTAGCTCCCTGTGTATTTTCCACCTGTGCCCCACATCCCTTTTGCTTCCTGAGAAAGCAATTTCATCTGGAATTCTGAGCTGACAACAAGTGAAGGCCACGTTCCTGCTGTCATTTGATGTGAGGATTAATTTAGTCCCTCGTTAAGGATACCCAAATCCCTTCAGGATCAAGAAAAGCGCCTGGAAAATGCCCTCACGGCCTGAAAGCACACAAATTAAAGGACTGTAAACCTTGGGCAAAGATTGTATCAGTGATGAATCTGCCATTTCATTTAACTGGAAGCCTCACAATTACAGGAAATCTAACAGAGGCCCCAAAGTGAGGAAAATTGGGGCTGTTTGTTTAAGCCTAACTTGCAGGCATGAAACTCAATCTTTGCCTCTGTCACTGGTGCTTCAGAGGCACCAGAGTGACCTTTGCTTCAACTTACTGGTGTCTGACACCTCAGAAATTGCCTCTGTGACCAAAATAAAACCAGGGAATAAGGTGGGGGGGATAATAAATGCAGGTGTTGGGGATCCACAGGTCCTGATGTGATGGTGACTAAGGAGGAGATAGGCAACTCTACCAGCATGGAGAAGAGTAGGTTTTGTAAATGGGATTTGTATAGATTTTGCCTCAGATATTGTTGAGGAAAAGGAGCTGAAATGATTGAACTGTGTTGCTGGTAGTGCCTTTCTTTACACAACATCCTTGCTCAAAGCCTGGATATCAGGTATCCATTCTTCTCAGGCAGGAAAAGCCAAATAAATAAAAGGCAAATCCCTACATTTTTCCCTTGTTTTCACCCTTCTGACTCAATGATGGCATAGTAGCACAACTGGTGAGTTCAATCAACCCTGTTGTCCTTGCTGGTGTAACCCAAGTGATGAAACATGAGAAAAGCATGTTTCCCAAGCTGAAAATCACAGCTTTTTACTCAAAGCTCATCATTATTAAGTTTACGCTGCGTTGTAATAGAAACTAGAAAACCTTCAGCAACTTTATGGCTCCAAACTTACTGAGTATGCCCCAATATAGGTAGAAATCTGTCTGTAAATGAGTGACTGGTTTTGTCTGCGTGTTGTTCTGCTCTAGATTCCCTTTAATGATGTTGTTTGGCTTCTGTTTTCTCATTGACTCGTGGATGTCCCCAGAGTAAGGGAACCTTAAAGCCAAAAAAGTCATGCTACAGTTGACTACACTGGATGCCACCACAGGGTTAAGCAAAGCAAGTTCCTCGTTGTGCAAAGGTTACACAAACACTTGTGCTCTGGGGGTCAGTGGTGCTTGTGCTGTTGAGCTAACAAGGAGAAAGTGAAATTCAGAGTTCAGAGATCTCTTTGGAGGTTGAACACTTTGCTTGTTTCCTTTCCTTTGATGTGCCTGGGTAAGTGTTTTGACCTCCTGTGTAGAACGGATTCATACGAAGGAACAGTGTGTAGTGCCGGGTTAGAGCCACTACAGACTTTCTCTCTCTCTCTGTAGAGCACAGAGTGCAGGATATGGTTGGTATTTCTTAACCTTGAGATGGAGAATTACTGGAACTATTTGATCCTCCAATTTAAATTGAATCTGTTTCTGCTCTGCATATTATGTCCCATCCCTGGGAGTGTTCCAGGCCAGGTTGGATGGGGCTTGGAGCAGCCTGGGCTGGTGGGAGGTGTCCCTGCCCAGAGCAGGGGGTGGAACTAGATGATCTTCAATGTCCCTTCCAACCCAAACCATTCCATCACTCCCTGAGCTGTCAGTTTGTGGCACTGGGGCAGGAGGACTTGAGAGACAGGGAAGATTCAGAGTAGGTATGAGGAGAAATGTTTTCCCTGTTGTGGTGTTCAGCCCTGGGATATTGCCCAGGGAGGTGGTGGAGTCACCATCCCTGGAGGTGTTTCAGAGGTGTCTGGATGTGGCACTGGAGGATCTGGTTTAGGGTTTAGAGGTTACAGCAGTGACAGGTTAATGGTTGGACTCGATGATCTCAGAGGTGTCCCCAACCTGATGATTCTGTGATTCTATGCCACCACATCCAGAGCACGGGGACAACCCACCCAGCGCAAAGCGACAACGCCCCAAGGCGATGATTTTTGATAACTTTTATTTTCAACACTTTTCACCCCTAAACTCATCTCTCCCCGCGCCCCTCGCGGGGGGC